TCATAAACAGAAATACCTGATTTTGACAAATTCCTACTTAATCCTTTTTCCTTTTATGGCTAGTGCTTTTTGTGCCCCTAATCACTGACAAAACCAACATCTTAAAGATATTCTCTTATGTTTTCTTCTTGAAGATTTTGGCTTAGTTTTTACATGAAGTCTATGATATATCTCAACCTGGTTGACATATTAGGGATGAAGTTCAGTGGTAGAGCACTTGCCTAACTCCTGCAAGGCTCTGGATTTAATAACCTGGACCAAAAAAAAAAAAAAGACTTTTCAAATTGGTTGTCATATATTGAGTTAGCTGTGGATCAAGGTTTGCTTTATTTATAGAGGGATACCAATTTTTTCAGGATGATCTGATAAAAAGCCTTTCCTGTTGAATTGATTTCATGTCTTTGTCAAAAAATCAATTGACTATACATGAATGGATCTGTTTCCAGGCTCTCCCTTCTGTTTCATTGATCTATTTGTCTACCTTGATGCCAGCATTACACTGTCTTTATTTCTATAATTCATAGTAAATCTTGAAATCAAGTAGTGTGAGTCCTCCAAATTTGTTATATTTTGATATATTTTTTTGCTATTTTACATCCTCTGTCTTTTCATGTAAATGTTATAATCAGCCAATTTATTCAAATTAGCCTGCCAGAGTTTCACTAGGACTTCATGAAAGTCAGGATCCATTAGGGGGATGCTATAAGTTGTTACTGCCTATAATAACAGCAGTGGTCACTCTTCATTGGGGCTTGCACTGGGTCTGTCCTTTGCCTATCTTTACAGTGACCCAGAGGGCTTAGAATTAGTCCCACTTCACAAATGGAGGGTCCCCCTCTCAGAAAGACAGAGCAGCATCTGCTTGAGTACCTATGGTTAGTTTGTAGGGATGCTGAGAAGCTGGGCAGGTGGGTCTGACCATAAATCTCAGCGGCTTCTCACCAGGGTATGCAAAGTCAGCGTGTAGACTGAAGAAGTATCAGGAGGCCAGAAATCATGACACAGAGAGACTGTTGTGAGAACTAAGGATTGCCAGCCTGGAGGAGGAACAAAGAAGAGAAGACATGACGGTTTATCTGAAAATACCTGAAGTATCACCATGTGAAAGACTCTGGGGTAAAAATTAGCAGAGGCCATTTTGATGATACCAAATAAGGAAAAATACCCCTAATTACTAGAGATTTGTCATCCTAGAGACAGCAAAGTTGGTGGCTAAATGCACAGAGTGTGGAGACTGGCTACCTGAGTTCTAATCTCATTAGTTACTAGCTGTTTGATCTTGGGCAAGTCACCTAATCTCTCTGTGTCTTCATTTCTTCATCTGTAAAACTGAAATACAAATAATACCAGGTTGATGACAGTTATTGTAAATAACTCACACCCGTGTTTTGTATACAGGAGGTGCTAGATGTGGGTTAAAAAGTAAAAAGTTGAGAAATGGAACGGACGTTTTTGTGAGATAATAAGTTTTAACTCTGAAAGCATTTCAAGTATGTTGAAATTGCCATCTATTTAGAAGCTTCAGAAAAGACTTCTCCGTTAGCTAAAAAGTTGGGCCACACATTCTCTACCAGTCCTGTCTTCAGTCCTAATGATTCCAAGTCAACTCCTTCAAAAGTTTTGAACAGCTGGGATGTGGCTGGGGGTACAGCCCCTTGCCTAGGGTGTGCAAGGCCCTGGCTTTGGTCCCCAGCTCCCCCCCCCACACACACACACACCAAGTATGTACAAAATAACAGACTTGCTGGCTTTCTCTCTTCAATCAATCAATATTCTCACTTTATTTGATCAATAAATCCCCACGCTGCTTGGAAACAAAAGCCTTTAATTGATGTAAGAAAATCTAAATCAGAGTGTGCCTTCGGTGATGCGGGGTGGTAGAAAGTAATAGAGAAAGACCAGGCGCCACGCAGAGCGCTGGTGAGTAACTCACTCTTAACACCAGCCAGCTGCTTCGGCTGCCTGAGAGCCAGTGTCTCTGAGTCTCTGACTGAGATCTGTCAAAGACCGTGGTGAGGGGGAATGTCCTCATCCAAACTAGGGAAATTTGGGGGGATTTTTGTCCTCAATTCCATATTGGTGAGTCCTAATAGGAGAAGTCACTTGGTGTGTCCTTGCACCCTTTTCTGGGCCTTTCTTAAGGCTCTCTACCCTCGTGGGTAGTCTTTCCCTTCCTCTAATTGCTTTCAGCCTGCTTGGTTCCATTTGAAAATGAGCTGCTTCATGAACTTCCCAGCATTTCTTGGTCTTTCTGGCCATTAAAAATGGCTCATGCCATGTACACGGCTGCTGTAGGTTTAATCACTGCAGCAGTTAAGAGACCATACTTGTTCCCCTCCACAGAGGAGGACCATCTCAGCATTTCAAGAGTGTGCTCATTAGGAGCCCTGCAGTTCAGTTTGATAATATGGAGGAGAAGCCCCTAGAGAGCAGGCCGGCGTGAGGAGCTCATGGAGGGACCAGAGATCAGAAGTCTGTACCATATGTGGTCATTTACTAGATTGTGAGCTGGGGCAATTCACTTAAAAAAAAATTTTTTTTTTTGAGCCTTTTTCTTCCTCTGAAAGAAGCGGGGGAAAGTGGTGATAGTGAGACTTCTACTGTTCCCCTGGGCCTTATACTTCTGATGCATCAAACTGATGCATCAAACAGATGGCCACAAACAGACACTATGTATACAGGTTTTGCAAACCATACATATGCTAAACAAGTCTGTGGTTGCCCATCGGCCACCCTGGATGAATAGCAACGATGTACGTTCCAGCACCACCAAGGTCTTCACTGTCACCTAGGTCAGCAGACGACGTCCTCATCAATCTTACTGGGTCCTAAATTTTACTAGGTACTAAAAGAATCATCCTAAGTCAACATGACCACTCCAGACACTGCTGCTGGGAACATCGCACGAGACAGGATTAAAGGAAGGAGGTAGAATCAAAAGGCAGGGGATGCATTACAATTCTTATTACACATATAGAGCACAATTTTTCATATCTCTGGTTGTATACAAAATATATTCACACCAATTCATGTCTTCATACCTGTACTTTGGATAATAATGATCATCACATTTCACTGTCATTAATAACCCCACGTCCCTTCCTTCCCCTCCAACCCCTCTGCCCTATCTAGAGTTTAAAAAAAAAAAAAGATGAATGGAAAAATAAAATATGGTGTGAATAAACAATTGGATATCATTCAGTCTGCAGAAAGGAAGGAAATTCTAACATACTCCAACATGAATGAAACTAAAGGACATTATAAAATAAGTTAGTTACAAATATATAAATATTGTATGGTTCCACTTATCAAAGTATCCAGAGTAGTCAAATTGATAGAGACAGAAAAGAAAATGCTGGCTGCCAGGGGCTAGGGAGGGGGAAATGGAGTATTGGGTTCAATGGGATCAGAATTTCAGTTTTATAGATGAAAAGAGTTCAGTAAATGGATGGTGGTAGCGACAGCACAACAATATGTAATGTCACTAAATCATTGTGGTAGATTTTGTTATGTTCACTTTATCATAATTTTTAAAAAATAAATTAAAAATTTTTTAAAATAATAGTAAAAAAAAAAAAAAGCTAAAAGTGAACATAAAATATTGGTTTTAGTAAATCCCGGCAAATCTACATAATACAATGTTAGTAAAAAAAAAAAAAAAAGGCAGGAGGCTCCCCCAGGTCCAGTTTCACTGACTTTCTTCATTTATTTGTGGGATCCTAAGCCCATCGGTAATCCTGTCTGTCTCCAGTTCCTGTGACTCTCACACTGAACAGGGCTGCAGTGAGAGAAAATACAGTCACACACAAGCCAGGTGTGGTGGCACATGCCTATAGCTCAGCTATTCAGGAGGTTGAGATGGAAGGATTGGTTGAGACCAGACTCAGCAACACAGCAAGACCCCATCTCAAACAAAAAGTCAAGCAAGAGAAGAAATAGCTTACTAAGTTATGAATACCCTGGACAACAGTATGAAGAGTTTCTTGATTCATCCACAAAGAACCAGAGACTCCTTCTAATATGCTCAATTGAATGCAAAGCCAGCAGAAGTCAGGCCAATTTTTTGGTGCCGTTATAAATCTGAATAAACACTTTCACATTTAAAAGGAAGACATTAATCAAGTTCAAAGCTCTGATTTCAACTTCTAGAGTCAAGAAGAGTAGATTCATTAAAAACACAAAATGCACATTGTTTGTGTGGCTACTTCCATGGACATAGTACTGGCTTATGGAGCCAGAGAACTTGGCTTTCCTGAATGCCTGTGACATACGAAGCCCTAACTGCATTAGAGGACCGTGTAACTCAACATCCAAACCTGAGCACCTAAGAGTGAAAGAGGACATGAAGAATTATGTCAGGATGACAAGCTGTGCTGAGACTGTCCTTGGCAAAGCAGAATGCACTGTCCCCTGTCTACACAGCTCACAGGAGAGCTCTGATGAACTCCAAGGGCAAAAGCAGTGTTCAGCCACACTCCTTTTCCCATATGGCATAACCTTATTATTCCACTCCAGTGATATATCTGTGTTTACCTTTCAGGTCTAATTTCAGCCCAGCAGGAAAGCCCATTAGTTGTTATTGAGAAAGTTTCCTCATTAGGCTGCATGAGCTGTTGTGGGCTGGACTCCCAGGTCCACGGGGCTGCTAACAGGCCTGGAAACCATCCGCTCAGCCCAGCTCTGATCCTAGTGAGCAGATGGAAGTGCTTCTGCAGCTGAGACCCTGCTGCCCTGGTTCCTACCCTCCATGATGCTCAGGTCTGTGAGTGAAGGTGTTAAAATCCTCCTCTAGGGGGATGTCACTGCCAGGGTTGGGTAAAAACACATTTCCTGATAGTTCCTTCATTTGCCACTCTTTGAGATTCAAGTTAAAATTATATATCTTTGCATCTTAACTTCATGACCAAGGCCATTATTAAGTCACTATCAGAGCCTTTAGTCCTCATCACAGCTGCTCCCCCCCCCAGCTGAGCATTAATATAGGCATGGCACAGGCTGGCAGTGTGGAAGAGATGGGAGGGCATGGAAATTTGGGCCTAGGTCTGGTTTGCCACTCTTGATAAAGTTTTTAGTTAGCATCCCTGGATTCCAGCTTTCTTCTTTCTGCAGGGAGCAATTTTACTGAGTGTTATCCTATGAAGTTGCCAAGAAAATTAAGTATAATAATGCCTTTGAAAGTTCTTGAGAAAGAACTAATTATTCCACAAATACATAGGCAATGCAGATCTGCAGGTGAGAGGACAACCACAACACAGAACAGAAGCTCCAGCTGTGAATTTTCTTTTAATTGCAATTTGAACTCTTGTAGCCTAGTTCTCGCAAGGCAATTAGGAACTAACAGAAACTTGCTTATGAAGTAAGAATGCAGTTGGATGGGAGGACAGAAATGGAGAGAGAACCATGTTCTAGCACAGGCAATTGAAGAAGTGCATATTTGACCAGAGCATTTGGATATGAACTGTAACTTGGCTGCAGAAGGCTCTGGAAAAGCCATTATACCTGTAGAGCTAATACTTTTCTACCATCTAATGGGGTCATGTCTCCCATTTTTCTTCTCTCTACAAATTCCTATCAAATTGAGTTTGGATTAGATGCATTAAGTAATCTTAAGACCAAGACATGATTCCTAAAGCTATGGGCAGTCCCAGAATAGGAGCCTATGGAGACGTAGACTGAACATAGCCAGAGAATCTTTGTTCCAGTATCATTCCTCTACCATATTTTTACCTTGGATTGAATGGGTTGGTCCTGGAATTTTAAAAATATTTCTTGTGCATACTTAGTGAATTTAACAGAATCTTCTTTGTACCTGTGCATGGTACATGCTACTAAAAATGTCTGCTTCTCTTAGCAAGTGGACATACGGATATTATTATGGCTGCCATCAATTCCTCCCATTACACAATGAGAATTACCCACCACCATCACTACCATCGAGAGGTAAAATTTGTTTCCCCTTCCTGTGAATTTGGGTTGGTCTTGTGACTTGTCTTGACCAACAGAAGGTGGTTGAAATAATGTTCACTCTGGGACTTTGAGACTAGGTGGGTCTTATAAGAACTAGTGAACTGTGCCTCCTTTCTCAGAAGCCAGGCTCTACAAAAGATGTCCAGCTACCCTGTGGAACTTCAAGCTAGACACAGAGAGAGGTCACAGGAAAGAGCACACAGGTATGAGGCATGTGAGCAAGGCCTCCTGGACCTCTGGCCCAGCCTAACCCAGCCAGCAGCTGAGAGCAGCCGAATGAGTGACACCATTTGATGCCACATGGAACGGAAGAATTGCTTGCACAAGTGCCACCCCAGTTACACAATTACGAGAAATAATAAACCATTGTCATTTTAAGACATCAAGTTTTGGGGTGGTTTGCTATTTCTCAGCAAATAACTAAAATAGCAATGTCTGCATTCTGTCACATAAAGACACTCAATAATACTAACATAAATGGCACCATCAACCATCTCGACAGAGAATTCAAACTACCTGTGCAGTAAACAGCTAAAATCATCCAGGCACAGTCTAGGAAGTTAAATTGTCTTCAATGTGCTCCTACTTTCTTGCTTGACTTGATAAACATGGTTTGTAAAAACCCTACCAGGTATCCTATAAGGGCTTTGCCTAGTAGGAGGTCAGAAAAGCCTGCGGAGCCTCAGCTCCCATTCTGAATTCTGCCCTTTTATTTCTCCTATACTTTGGGCAAGGCATTTGTAAAGCCTGGATCTTGAAGGTCCCACAGTGGCCTATCCATTGAAGGCTTGGTCTCTAGAGTCAAGCTGGGGAGGTACTTAAACCTTTAAGAGTGGGGCCTATTGGGAGTTCTCTAGGCCAGTGGGGATGTGCCCTCCAAGGGGACAGTGGAATCCCAGCCCCTTCCTCTTCCTCCCTTTGTCATCCTGGCCATAGGCCAACAGTTATGCTCTGCCCTGTACTTCCACCATGATGTGGCACCTCTCCACAGGTCCAAAACAATGGAGCTAGTCCATCATGGACTGAAATCTCCAAAGCTGTGAGCCAAAATAAACTTTCCTCTTTACAAGTTAATTCTCTCAGATATTTGTTATAGTGATGGAAAGCTGACTAGCAGCATTTAATCGGTCTTAGTAAGTCTTAGTCTGTCAGGGCTGCTATTATGAAGTACTTTGGACCGAGAGGCTTATCAACAATAGAAATGTAATCCTTGCCGTGACAGAGGCTGCACTCAGGAAAGTGATGGAAGTCTGAGATGAAAGGGCTGGAAAGCTCAGTGTCTGGGGAAGGCCCTCCTCCTCACAGATGGCACCTTCTAGCTGCGTTCTCACGTGGTACAAAGCCCACTCATGAGGACATAGACCTCAAAAACCTACTAATCTTCCAAAGGGTGCAACTCTTAATACCATCATCACTCCGGGGACTAGTGTCAACATCTGAGTTTTGAGAAGTCTCAAACATTCAGACTACAACAATCTCTTCTGAGTGTTGCATTTACAGGATGGATAACTTACTCTACAGACTTCTTATGGTAGCCAAATTAGATAGACTATGTTGACAAGCTCTAAAAAACATGACATTATTTTTACCAGCTGTCATTTCATAGTTTGTTTTTTCCGACTGAAACTCTTTTAGATTTATTCATCCTTCAAAAAGAAAAAAACCCTGCAATTTGAGGGTTTCACCAGCAGATGGAAACTGTTCATAAATCGGAGTCTTCCAAAATCCCAAGTAAAGGTTAAATAAAAAATGAAAATGTGTTTCATGTTCTTACCAATATATGGAAGAACTTGTCTGGAGTGATGGTACTGAGAACATCTGAGGCCTTGCTCTAGCCCTGTGGAAAGGAAATCTCCTTTTTCTTTTTTTTTTTATGCACTTACCATAATAAGCAGAAAGAAAACAAATGCATCCATAAAAATGGCTAACCTAGACTGAACGCTTACCATGAGCTGTGCAGTTTGTTCCAAGAGCTTTATTTGGATTTTCTTATTTCCTTCTAAGAAAACTTCTATCATTAACCCCATATTTACAAATCATGACTCTAGGCCCAAATAAATTACCTGCCCAACAGGTAAATTCTTCCACAGCTGGAATTCACAGCCAAGCTGGTGGACTCCAGGTCTAATAGTTCAGCACCAAAACTCAAATTCCTTTAGTTCTGCTTTCCTCAAGCAAACAGGAGTGCTTTTTGCCCTTTAATTTTTTTAGTACCCTTCCTCCCTTACAATTAGCTTTTCTTATAGGATTTCTAGCTAAGAGTAATTTGCTTAAAAGATGACAATTGGTAATAACTAAAAGTCTCTTAGCTAAGTTGATTGAGCCAAATACAGCAGCATTGACAAGTCAGTGTCAATTAGGAGGTTGCTCAGAATTGTTTTCTGACATAGAAAAGCAAATGTAATGAATTCAATTTTGAAAAGCTTCTTGATATTGATGAACCTGTACAAGTCCATGTGAATAGATATAGATGTCACTGTGACTACAGAGCCAGGATCCTCAACTTGTTTTTTCACTGATAGCAACAGGTCATGAATCACTCAGGAGATGGTTACATCCATTCATTGAACCCTTTGTTGAACAAGGGCATCCTGTACGTAGTCAGACATCAATGCAGAATGTCGCCTCTGGTCTAGAAATAACAGGCAAGATGAAAGTCATCTTTCTGTACCTTGGAGGCAGCTTTCAAGTGCCATTCTCTTTAACTTTCTCTGTAGCTAAAGCCAGACATGTCAATATGTAACTCACTCCACTATTGCACATAGAACTCAAAGAAAGGCCAAAGAAGAGTGAGTGAGTGAGAGAGAGAGAGAGAGAGAGAGAGAGAGAGAGAGAGACCCTCACCAGCTCAGCAGAGCACACTCTAGAAAACAGGGAACATTCTCAATGGTCAGCTTGGGATGAATCAGACAGTAGCAAATGAGGGGAAATCATACTAAAAGCCATAGAAATGCAACTGTGAAAGTTCTAAGCCATTTGTTCACACCCTGAACCATAAACTAGAATCAACCTGGAAGCTTTTAAAAATACCAGTCCTGTTGAACTGTGAACCACACCCTTGACCCACCAAATCAGAACCTCTGGAACCCATGCATCTGGGGGTTTTTTGTTTGTTTGTTTGTTTTTGTTTTTTTTAATAACCAAGATGATTCCATAGCTTGAGAAATATACACCTGATAAAAATGCAGCATAATTTGCACCAGATATTATGGCACAAGCCTGTAATCCTAGCAGCTTGGGAGGCTGAGACAGGAAGATCGCGGGTTCAAATCAGCCTCAGCAATAGTGAGGCGCTAAGCCATTCAGTGAGACCCTGTCTCTAAATAAAATACAAAATAGGGCTGGGGAAGGGGATATGGCTTACTGGTTGAGTGTCCCTGAGTTCAATCCCCAGTATCCCCCCACCCAAAAAAGAAATGCAGCATAAATTGAGATTACAATAAAATTCCTTCTCCTTCTTTCCCATAGGAATGGCCATTCTATCACAGAACCCAAATGACAAGCAAGAAAGATTTCTACAGGAGCAAGACAAGGACATTCTCATGAGTTGTGCGAGGCCAGGGGTGCCATGGGCTCTTTGGGGTGGGGAGTCTGGACTCACTGCTCCTTATGTTTGTAGTTCGTGGTTAGCATGTGCATCTTTGTTGACTACTTAGCATTTCGTGTACAGGTCAATCTCTTGGTTTCACTTCAGTCACTGTCATCTAATCCTTTTGTTACCCTTGTAAGCTTCTGAATTAAAATAACTCCTTCAGTGATCACCAAAAATAAATACCACATGGGGCTGTTCCCACAGACAAGTGCAGTTGAGGCCTTCTGGTGTGGAAATAGAGGGGCCTTGGAGAATAGTCCCCCCCAAGACTGTTGCCAGCTGGGTTTGCCTCACATGCCACAAGGGCACTGGATCACTGATAAGAATTGGGACTCTGTGACTAGGTGACAACACAAAATTAATGGACCATGTAGATAGAGTTCAGTCATACTTTTACTCTCTTCAAATTAAAGAATCTGAATTGCTCAAGTTATTTTTAAAAAATTTTTTTAAAGAATATGAGATACGCTGTGGACATGTTCCATTCCTCCAGCTTCATATCCTGTCACTGCCAGAGATACAAAAAGCGGGTGGGGAAATCAGGATTTGCACACTCTGATTTGACCACTCTGCCATATCCCCAGAACACTACCGTAAGTGTGTACAATCTCCACACTGTCCGCCCACCCACTCCCACATACTGGGGATTGATTTTAGGGACGTTTTACCACTGAGCTACATGATCATCCCTGTTTACTTTTTTACTTTGAGGCAGGGTCTTGCTAAGTTGCCCAGGCAGGCCTTGAATTTGTGATTTTCCTGCCTCAGTCTCCAGAGTTGCTGCTCACTATAGGTGAGCAGCACTATACCTGGCTGCAATTCTTCTTGATGATAAAGAAAAGCCACAGAGAGCCAGGGCAGACTCCCCAGATTACAGCAAGCCAGAGCTAAGACATGCTGTAAAGTAGCAAGCGGCACACAGTTGCTTACGAGTGACAAGCTCTGTCTGTTTTTTATCCAGGAATCTCTCCCAGCTGAAAGCCTGGCATCAGTCCTTAAGAAGCAGGATGACTTCAGGTGTTCACTGGCAGAAGTTAACAGCCACTGTGATGATCACGAAGTCGCTCCATCCCCAATACTCCCCGTGAGATTTGCAAGACAGACATGCCCCCAACTCACTGCTGCAGAGACGAAAGTTGGGGGTCAATGGTATTTGACAAGTCCTCTAGTTCAGTGCTTCTCTAAATTTATTTCCATCAGGAGCAACTTCAGGGGCTTCATCCCAGAGATCCAAAAATTCTGATTGAGTGTGGCAGGAAGGGAGAATGAGCATTGCTAAAAAATAACCACATTTTGAGAACCACTGGCCCAGTGTAACCACCTGCCAATGCAGGAATTCCTTTTACAACATCCCTAAGATCCGGGGATATGGGCACAGGCTGCGCTATTGTGGCAACAGGAAGCTGAGTAACTCCCAAGGTAGCCCAGCACCTTCTTAGGCAGTTGTGGATGACCAGTTTGGGAGTAGGGTGGTAGTTTCAGGATTCAGACTCCTAGACAAGGGCATCGGTGTATCTTTTCTACACCAGATGACCAGAGAACTCACCAAAGCCACCCAATGTCACAGTCTATAGGATCTAATCAGAGGAACTCCTATGCATAGACCTCCCTGATACTGAGTGAATTAGAATTTCTGAGGACATTTTCTTTCTAAGTTCCCCTGGTGATTCCAACAAGCACTCAGGGTACACCCACTGAACACTTCATTTTTCAGATGACAAACCTGAGGCCCCAAAGAAGGAAGGGTCTCTAAATCCTCTAAGAGATA